AACACAAGTTACCAACACACAACACAAGTTACCAACACACAGCTGCGTTACCAACACAACACAAGTTACCAACACACAACACAGAGTACAACACACAGCACAAGTTACCAACACACAGCACAGTTTACCAACACATCCCTGCGTTACCAACACACAACACGTTACTAACACACAACACAAGTTACCAACTCACAACACAAGTTACCAACACACAGCACAAGTTTACCAACACACAGCACAAGTTACCAACACACAGCAGCACGTTACCAACACACAACTGCGTTGAACACAGCTGCACGTTACCAACACACAACACAAGTTACCAACACACAGCACAGGTTACCAACACACAGCTGCGTTAACAACACACAACACAAGTTGCCAACACACAGCACAAGTTACCAGCATAAGTTACCAACACACAGCACAAGTTACCAACACACAGCACAGGTTACCAACACACAGCACAAGTTACCAACACACAGCTGCGTTACTAACACACAACACAACTGCGTTACCAACACACAGCATAAGTTACCAACACAGCACAGTTACTTAGCAAAGTTACCAACACAGAGCACAAGTTACCAACACACAGCACAAGTTACCAACACACAGCACGTTACCAACACACAACACAAGTTACCAGCACAACACAAGTTACCAGCACAGCACAAGTTACCAACACACAGCACACAAGTTACCAACACACAACATGCGTTACCAGCACACAGCAGGAGTTGCCAACACACAGCTGCGTTACCAACACACAACACAGGTTGCAACACAGCACAAGTTGCCAACACAGCACAGAGTTACCAACACACAGCACAAGTTACCAACACACAGCACAAGTTACCAACACACGGCAAGTTGCCAGCAGCACAAGTTACCAACACACAGCACAAGGTTACCAACACACAACTGCGTTACCAACACACAGCACAAGTTACCAACACACAACACAAGTTACCAACACACACAGCAGCACGTTACCAACACACAGCACAAGTTACCAACACACAGCACAAGTTAGCACCAGCACAAGTTACCAGCACACAACACAAGTTACCAACACACAACACAATTTGCCAACACACAGCTGGATTACCAACACACAGCACACGTTGCCAACACACAACTGGGATTACCAACACACAGCTGCGTTACCAACACACAGCTGGGTTACCAACACACAGCGCAAGTTACCAACACACAGCACAGTTACCAACACACAGCACTGCGTTACCAACACACAACACAAGTTACCAACACAGCCTGGGATTACCAACACAGCACAGAGTTACCAACACACGCACGTTACCAACTACACAACACGTTGCAACACACAGCACAAGTTACCAACACGCAGCCTGCGTTACCAACACAACACAAGTTACCAACACAACACAGTTACCAACACACACCACAAGTTACTGCGTTGCCAACACACAGCGCACGTTACCAACACACAGCACAAGTTGACCAACACACAGCACAAGTTGCAACACACAGCACAAGTTGCCAACACACAGCACAAGTTACCAACACACGGCACAAGTTGCCAACACACAGCGCAAGTTGCCAACACACAGCACAGGTTACCACACCGGCACAGGTTACCAACACACGGCGCGGTTACCAACACACAGCTACGTTACCCACGCAGCTGGTTACCAGCACAGCTGCGTTACCAACACACAGCACCGTTACCAACACACAGCACAGTTACCAACACACAGCACACGTTACTAACACACAGCACACGTTACCAGCACACAGCACAGTTGCCAAACACACAACCTATTGCAACACACACAGCACAAGTTGCAACACACAACTGCGTTACCAACACACAACATGTTTCAACACACAGCACAGTTATAACACACAACACGTTACCAACACACAGCACAAATTACCAACACACAGCACAAGTTACCAACACACAGCACAAGTTACCAACACACAGCACCGTTACCAACACACACAGCACAAGTTACCAAGACACACACAAGTTCAACACACAGCACACGTTACCAACACACAAGTTATAACACACAGCACAGGTTACAGCACCACGACACACGTTACCAACAGGCACGTTTGCCAGCACAAGTTACCAACACACAGCACAAGTTACCAACACACAGCGTTACCAACACACAGCACAGTTACCAACACACAGCTGCGTTACCAACACACAGCTGAAGTTACCAACACACAACACAGGTTACCAACACAGCATCGTTACCAACACACAAGTTACCAACACACAGCACAAGTTACCGACACACAACACAAATTGCCAACACAGCAGCGTTACCAACACACAGCACAAGTTACCAACACACAACACAAGTTACCAACACACAACTGCGTTACCAACAAACAGCACGTTACCAACACACAACACAAGTTACCAACACACAGCACAAGTTACCAACACACAGCTGGGGTTACCAACACACAGCCTGGTTACCAACACACACCGCGTTGCCAACACACAGCACAGGTTACAAACACACAGCACAAGTTACCAACACACAACTGCGTTACCAACACAGCTGCGTTACCAACACACAGTTGGCAGCACAAGTTACCAACACACAGCACAAGTTACCAACACACAGCACAAGTTACTAACACACAGCAGCGTTACCAACACACAGCATAAGTTACCAACACACAACACAGGTTACCAACACAGCATCGTTACCAACACACAACACAAGTTACCAACACACAACACAAGTTACCAACACACAGCACACCACCGTTACCACTACACAACACAAGTTACCAGCACAGCACATTACCAGCACACAGCACAAGTTACCAACACACAGCACAGAGTTACCAACACACACACGTGTTCCAACAAACAGCCTGCGTTACCAACACACAGCACAAGTTACCACACACAACACAAGTTACCAACACACAGCACAAGTTACCAACACACAGCACAAGTTACCAACACACACAGCACACGTTACCAACACAACACAAGTTACCAACACACAACACAAGTTACCAACACACAGCACAAGTTACCAACACACAACACAAGTTACCAACACACAGCACACGTTACCACACACAGCATTTGCTTCAACACAAGTTACCAGCACAGACACCAACACACAACACAAGTTACCCATCAGAACCGTTACCAGCACACACGAATTTAGCACGCGCGTTACAACACACAACACAAGTTACCAGCACAGCACAGTTACCAACACACAACACAAGTTACCAACACACAACACAAGTTACCAACACACAACACGCGTTACCAACATACAACACAGAGTTACCAACACACACAGCACAAGTTACCAACACAACACAAGTTACCAACACAGCACATTACCAACACATCACAAGTTACCAACACACAGCGTTTACCAACACACAGCACAAGTTACCAACACACAGCACAAGTTACCAACACACAGCACACGTTACCAACACAGCCACAGGTTTTACCAACACAGCACGTTACCAACAACACACAAGTTACCAACACACAGCACAAGTTACCAACACAACACAAGTTACCAGCACAGCCTGCGTTACCAACACACAACACACTTCAACACAGCACAAGTTACCAACACAGCAGTTACCACGCGCACTTGCAACACACAACACACTTTACCAACACACAACACAAGTTATCACACACAACACAAGTTACCAACACACAACACACGTTACCAACACAGCACACGTTACCAACACACAGCACAAGTTGCCAACACACAGCACAAGTTACCAACACGAGTTACCAACACACAGCACAAGTTACCAACACACAGCACCGTTACCAACACACAGCACAAGTTACCAACACACAACACAAGTTACCAACACACATACGTTACAACACACAACACAAGTTACCAACACACAACACAAGTTACCAACACACAGCACGTTACCGACACACAACACAAGTTACCAGCACAGCGTTACCAACACACAGCACAAGTTACCAACACACAACACAAGTTACCAACACACAACACCTTACCAAACAAACAGCACACGTTACTACACACAACACAAGTTACCCACACAACACAAGTTACCAACACAGCACAAGTTGCAACACACACAGCACAAGTTACTAACACACAGCACACGTTGCAAACACACAAGTTACTAACACACAACACAAGTTACCAACACAGCACAGTTCAACACACAACACAAGTTACATACACAGCACACGTTACCAACACACCTTACGTTACCAACTCACAACACAAGTTACCAACACAGCACGTTACCAACACACAACACAAGTTACCAGCACACACAGAACACGTTACCAACACACAACATAGTTACCAACACAGCACACTGCCAACACACAACACAAGTTACCAACACACAAACACAAGTTACAACACACAACACAAGTTACCAACACACAACACAAGTTACCAACACACAACACGTTACCAACATACAACACAAGTTACCAACACACAGCACAAGTTACCAACACACAACACAGTTACCAACACACACACTTTACCAACACAGCACAAGTTACCAACACACAGCACACATTACCAACACACAACACAAGTTACCAACACACAGCACAAGTTACCAACACACAACACAAGTTACCAACACACAGCATACGTTACCAACACACAACACAAGTTACCAACACAGCACACGTTACCAACACACAACACAAGTTACCAACACACAACACACTTTACCAACACACAACACAAGTTACCAACACACAACACAAGTTACCAACACACAACACACTTTACCAACACACATGTACTGTAAAGGTAAATTGTCTTTTACTCAAGATACAACTTAGACTAAGTAGAATAATGTAGTTTTTGAATCAGCAACATCCCATTCTCACATTACATAAAAGCATTTTATATTTTACACAATGTCAAACAGGTGAATTATTATTGTGTTATATTCTACAGGTTTTTCATATTATTTGCTATAAATAACTTACGTTTTCCCAGTTGAGTAAACCTCTGAAATGGGTACAGTTGGACTAAACAACGACGATGCACGGGACGTATTTGGTGTTCCGTTGTCACCTGGAAATGTTCAAGAGAACATTTAATATAATAATCAATATGTAAACAGCTCAATGCCAAACCACATGCTTTATGTGAACAAAATATTTCTCAGTTAGATAAGGGCAAACATTTATCCAACCGAGTAGTTCATGCAGAAAAGGGTCAAATGAATGAAGATACAAAGCTTTAAAATTTACCTAACTAAAAACCACAACAAGTAGAGGTGGCCATGGCGGGGAAGGAGCTGATGAATTATGTATTACCAGTACAGTACTCCCTCTTTATCGACGGGGGTTACGTTCTGTAAACGGCCGTCGATAAAGAAACCGTCGATACCGTGGTTACGTAATTTTTCTAACTATTATTAGCATATGTTGAATAAATGTACCTTTAAGCATTAATGCGTTTCCTTTACACATAACCTTAAATAATAGTGTATAAATAATAATATAATAAGTGGACAAAAATACTAGCAAACTTACGATTTCATTTATTGAAGTGAACATCGGTCCTTACAGTAAACAAAACAGTGTACAGTACAGTAAAAGTCCAAAAATCCGGATGCCCAAGGCAAATTGTTTACCATTTATTATTACAACACTTTACACTGAAACGCGGGTAGTTTCAACAAAAATATTGTATATTTCCATTCAAGTATTTATTCAAGTCAATTAGGAGGGAATATTATTGTAATACAACAGTTTTTTAACTAAACCATTCGAAAAGTGATTACGGTAACATCTTTTGAACGAAAGAAAGCGCAAGTCATTGTTTTCGTCACGATTTGATCCCACTTTCCACTGTAATACATACGTCATTTCAACAAAAATATTACATTTCCGTGAATGTATTATATCAAGCACAGTATGAATAGAATATCATTGTAATATAACAGAATTTTAACCGAAAACTATTAAAAAAACGAGTAACATCTCAAGAACATTGGAAGGTTAGGTAAAGTCTTTTGTTTTCGTCATGTATTTTATCCTATTTTACATTGAAATACGTCACGTTTCAGCAAAACTACTATTTATTTCCGAGAATATATTCATTCAGGCGCAGTTTAGGTAAAATATACGTGTGATGTAATAATTTTTTAACTGAAAACGATTCGAAAAACACGTAGCCTCTAGCCCTGTTCAAGGAGAGGACTGGGAGAAGCTGTTTGGTGCTGCAGACGATGACAAGGAAAATGATTTTGATGGATTTTAATGAAAATATTCAGAAATATGGTATCGTAATATTTATTCAAGTCAATTAGGATATTATTGTAATACAATACAACAGTTTTTTAACTAAACCATTCGAAAAGTGATTACGGTAACATCTTTTGAACGAAAGAAAGCGCAAGTCATTGTTTTCGTCACGATTTGATCCCACTTTCCACTGTAATACATACGTCATTTTAGCAAAAATATTACATTTCCGTGAATGTATTATATCAAGCACAGTTCAAAATAAAAATCCGGCTAAATAATCCGTCGATAATCGAAACCGTCGATAAAAAATCCGTCGATAAAGAGGGAGTACTGTATAGAGGAACAGTACTTGACATCCTCCATCCCATACCAACCAACACACCACACACTTGACATCCTCCATCCTATTATTACCAACACACCACACACTTGACATCCTCCATCCTATTACTACCAACACACCACACACTTGACATCCTCCATCCTATTACTACCAACACACCACACACTTGACATCCTCCATCCTATTACTACCAACACACCACACACTTGACATCCTCCATCCTATTACTACCAACACACCACACACTTGACATCCTCCATCCTATTACTACCAACACAACACACACTTGACATCCTCCATCCTATTACTACCAACACACCACACACTTGACATCCTCCATCCTATTACTACCAACACACCACACACTTGACATCCTCCATCCTATTACTACCAACACAACACACACTTGACATCCTCCATCCTATTACTACCAACACACCACACACTTGACATCCTCCATCCTATTACTACCAACACACCACACACTTACATCCTCCATCCTATTACTACCAACACACCACACACTTACATCCTCCATCCTATTACTACCAACACACCACACACTTGACATCCTCCATCCTATTACTACCAACACACCACACACTTGACATCCTCCATCCTATTACTACCAACACACCACACATTGACATCCTCCATCCTATTACTACCAACACACCACACACTTGACATCCTCCATCCTATTACTACCAACACACCACACACTTACATCCTCCTAGCTGGTACAAAATCTCTCGAATCATTAGTTCATATTGTGGACGAAGGCTTGAAGACATCCTATTTTATGACTAAGGGGACAAATGTGTAAGCTTGCATCCTTCCTTTGTCCAATAGTCATCACAATCATCACCAACTTCACCATCATCACTATCTTCATTATCATCACCATCTTCATCAACTTTATCACCACCATCAAAACCATCACCAACTTCACCATCATCTCCATCACCAACTTTGCCATCATCACCATCCTTAAATTCACCATTATTATTATTGCCAACTTCACCATCACCATCATCACCAGCATCAACATCACTAACTTCACCATCATCACCACCACAATCACTAACTTCACCATCATCACCATCACTAACTTCATCACCAACATTGCTAAACTATACCATCACCAACTTCACCATCACTAACTTCACCATCAGGACCATCACTAACTTAACCATCACAATCACCAAATTCACCATCAATCACCAACTCACCTTCATCAGACCAACAACGTCATCACCATCACTAAATTCACCATCAACTTCACCATCACTAACTTCACCATCACCACATAAACAACTTCACCGCCATCACTGTAATGATTGTTTATCAGACCATAACTTAAAGCCCAGAACAAGAACAACACCCATAGCAGTGACCGGAAGCACAGGTGTGTACACCCTCCTAAGTTGACCCACCCTTTGTAATTAAAGTGAGATTAAGACCTGACCCAAGAGAGGTCACGGTCACAATGAACCAGAAGTCTCACCGCCGCATCATTAGCTAACCTGGTGACATGACCTAGTTACTCAGGACGCTACCCTCCAGCCAGTACACATGTCACCTGGCCAGACACACCCAGATTAGTGACGACATCTTCGGCTTGTCACCACCAATATAAAGAGCTGCAGCTCCTTCCCAGAGACAGAACTCAGAAGAAGACACGCTCGTCACTAGTCGAGGTACAGAGGGAGACTTCCCTTTCCAGCACCGAGCCCCATCTAGCAGAGTCTCTCAAAGGAGACAGAGTCCAGCAACACCAGCAAACCTTCCCCAGCAGCTGGGCCTCCCTCAGCTAACAAGTGAGTCATTGTCAGAGCGATCCAAGGGCGAGTTTCTTACTGTGGGAAGTGTATCCATTTCATGTTTGTGTCCGAGTCATTGTCTAGTAACTTAGATGTAATGATTTATTAATGTGTCGTTGTCATTCAGTTAACTAATAAATAGCTGTATTGGTGTTTAAAGAGTTTTCCCCTTCGAATATAATTCCAAGTGTAAATAACTAATCGGCCACGCTACCAAACTTTCTTCACTTCACAATCTAGTAACATATATATACTGTATTTATTAATGTGTCTCATTACATTACCATCAACTTCATCATCATCACCATCACTAACTTTACCATCATCACCAACTTCACCATCACCATCATCACTAACTTCACCATCACCAACTTCATCGTCACCATCTTCACCATCACTAACTTCAGCATCATCATCATCTTTACCATCACCTTCACTAAATTCATCATCAACTTCTCCACTACCATCACCTTTACCAACTACACCATCATCACCATCACTAACTTCATTACCATCATCACCATCACGAACTTCATCACCACCATCACTAAACTTTGCAATCACCACCATCACTAACATCTCCATCACAATCACAAAATTTACCATCAACACCATCACTAACTTCGCTATCACTAAACTTCCTCACCGTCACTAAACTTCACCATCACCAACTTCATCATAGCTAACTTCACCACCATTACACCAACAACTTCATGGTGGGGGAATTGTCTGGGGGCAGTTGTCCTGATACCTGGATAACACATCACAAGTTTCTTCAACTCAATCATAAGATGGGATTTCATACTTAGTTACTTTATTTTTAAATTAATCTTGGAGTTTGAAATCTGGAGTCAATATCAAATTTTAAAGCCATCAATTTGAATGCTGGAGTTGAATTAAAAGCTTTATTGGTTCAATTTGAAATCTTGAAGAATCCATTTGATAGCCTGAAGTGTTAACTTACTGTAAGCATACTGTATAGGTTAATGGTCCTACCTTTTTGTAATTCAAGTCTGGGTGTAATGAAGTTTAAGTCTTGTAACAGAGAAAATGGTGACCTGGGCTCCTGTTTTGGTGTGCGTGGAGATGACACCTTGACCTTGTTTTGTCTGCTTCCTATTTCTTCCATCTCCATTGTTTCCTTATTGCCAGCCAATACTACACTCTTGTTGGTCACTCCTGCTACTGTGGGTAATCTGTCAGCCATAATCTGACCTGAATCATGCTCATCACCTCTTTCTCTCTTTCCTTGTTCTTCTATTATACTTCTCTCTCTCTCAGCAACATCTTGCACCAAACATCTTGAATTAGTCATTCCATCACCATTTTGTCTCCTGAACTTATTCTGGCTTCTCAGTTGCTCGAGCCAATCTCTTCGTGTTACACCAAGGTCTGTAAGCACATCATCATTAGGTTATTGATAACAAAGGTTTCAACCAACACGAAATCTTGTTAACCGAGGCGCTTGTTAACCGAGGGACCACTGTATGTTTATATACACAGTGAGTTCTGCTATAACGCGTGTTTTGATAACGCGAATTTGCTCTAACGCGATTTATGAATTAGGAACGATATTTGTATAACGCGAACGCTTGTTTGCTATAACGCGATTTTTGCTTACTATTTCTCCAATTTTGTGGTACAGTGGGGTATGCTATAACGAATCTAATTGGTTCTAGAACCTTGTTCGTTATAGCATTCGTTCGTTATAGGATTAATCCGTTCCAGGCCCCCAAATACAACCACTTAACACTGAAAAATATAATATAAAATTTTAAAAATTGTAAAAAAGTGCATAAATATGCATCTAAACCCCTGAAATAAAGAATATCATTAATATTTGTAATAAAAAAACAATAAATTAGAAAAAAAAAAAAATTAAATAATGTTCGTTGTAGGAGTTTCGTTCGTTATAGCATTCTCAATTTTATAGGTAAAACAGTTCGTTATAGGCATATTCGTAGTAGGATCCGTTCGTTATAGCATACCCCACTGTGTGTGTATGTATGTATGTATGTGTATATATATATATATATATATATATATATATATATATATATATATATATATATATATATATATATATATATATATATATATATATATATATATATATATATATATACATACATACATACATACATACATATACATACATACATACATACATACATACATACATACATACATACATACATACATACACATACATACATACATACATACATACATACATACATACATACATACATACATACATACATACATACATACATACATACATACATACATACATACATACATACATATATATATATATATATATATATATATATATATATATATATATATATATATATATATATATATATATATATATATATATATACATACAGTAATACCCCGCTTAACGCGGTTTCGCTTAGCGCGATTTCACGTATACGCGGTGCCTCGCCAGAGCCGAACTTTCACTTAACACGGGTTTTTTCCACGTATACGCGCAGAGTGTCCGGCTCGAGACGCTATTTTTAGATTCACCCCACCCGCCACCCTCCTGCCTGCCTGCCTGCCTGTTTTACCTCATAAAATTCATACAAATTACCCGGCCAGAATATAATTTACATTTCTGGAATCCTTACAATATGATGATCATTTTGAATATGAACATCATAGATTTTGCATTAGACATACAAATATTAGATATAATGTTTACTCTGAGTAAATATGTTATTTTTTGTGCAAAATATATGACATTTGTATTCAAAATATTCCTGGTCTTACAAGGAATCTAGCAATGTCAATTATATTATCCTAACTTTAGTTTGAGGTATCATTTATTAAAATTTAATGGTTTTCCCCCCAAAATTTCTCAGAGAGGGAAGAGCCGGCAGTGTAGTGTGAGAGGGGGAGGGAGTTGAGTCCATTATTTGAATGGACATTAACTTGGCGACTGTATTTCTCTATTTCTCTTAAGTATTAATTGTGTGCATGTACCATCATAAAATTAAGATGTTATTTTTACTAGAACATAGGTATTGTGTCGGAATAAGTAGAGTTTGGGGGTCTGGCCAGTCTCTATTGGAATTAATCCCATATGTTCTGTTATTCACTTAACGCGGTTTTCACTTAACACAATACAGTGGGGTAGGCTATAACGAATCTAATTGGTTCTAGAACCTTGTTCGTTATAGCATTCGTTTGTTATAGGATTAATCCGTTCCAGGCCCCCAAATACAACCACTTAACACTGAAAAATATAATATAAAATTGTAAAAATTGTAAAAAAAGTGCATAAATATGCATCTAAACCCCTGAAATAAAGAATATCATTAATATTTGTAATAATAAAACAATAAATTAGAAAAAAAAAATTAAATTATGTTCGTTGTAGGAGTTTCGTTCGTTATAGCATTCTCAATTTTATAGGTAAAACCGTTCGTTATAGGAATATTCGTAGTAGGATCCGTTCGTTATAGCATACCGTCTATCACGGCCTATAAGACGAAATTTGAACATTAAAAAAATCTGCCCAAAGTTAGGGGGTCGTCTAAACCACCAAGTTTAAAATTCTTACCTCTTAAATATTGTGGTTTAGTGTGTCAAGAGTGGTGATGAAAACATCGTAAGCCACTCACAAGGTCTTACCACTAATTATTTTATACTGAAACTTACGTTTGGCAAGCTGGATTCAAATTAAGATTACCGGTATATTAAAATAATAAAAATGTATTATAAACCTGTCTAACATACCGTAAAAGAGATTTATACCCCTGTAATAAACACAGCTATCATCACACACCCCTCCCCACGCCCCCCCCCATTTGCCAGTGAGGAGACAAGAAAGGGAAAGTGACCGCGAGATTGGGCTATTTTTAGCCGTGGAGGTGGTCAGTAATGCATACCGGTATCGGTATATTTACTCATAATAATATTTATCTCCTATAAATAATTGATTTAAATTTTATTTTTTTACAAAGAATATTCAGTAAATGAGTGCATTAATTCTTGAAACTATCGACGGTTAATTACAGACGCTCAAGTGACGTCACTAGTGTTTACACTACACCAGCTGGTAATATTTGATGCCATTACTTGAAGTGAATTGGCCTTATTTTAAGTAACTAACTATAAATAAATACAAAAATTAAAAAAAAAGATCAAAACTGAGAAATAATATACTGTATGTATGTTGTGTTGTCAAAGTAAGAGGAACAATTGAAACTGCAATTCGGTAAATCTATTTCAAGTAAATGGAAAATAAGCAAACATGTTATTTACCAAGACGCTTCCCTCTGGCTCAGGGTGAGATGGAGGGGAGATAAGGCTATTTATAGCTCGTCTGAAGTGGCCAGTACCCTAATGCACCATAAATAATTCATTGAACATTCATTTTTTGTACATAGTATATTCAGTATATATATATATATATATATATATATATATATATATATATATATATATATATATATATATATATATATATATATATATATATATATATATATATATATATATATATATATATATATATATATATATATATATATATATATATATATATATATATATATATTTGTGTAATAAATGTATGTAGTAAGTACATACTGGTAACCTTTTTCACTCAAATCCTAATGAAACACCACAATTAGAATACGGTGGTTGCTGTTGAACCACATGTTGTATAAATAGTCGGAACACAGCCACACCACCGAGACGAGGGAACACTCCCACCACCGATCGTCTCGTGTGAAGCAAGCGTATAAATGAAAGAAAATACTTGCAGTGTGTTTAATATGTTACAGTATATTATAAATAAATAAATAAATAAACAAATAAATCAGTAAATCCATTTCAAGTAAATGGAAAAATTTTACTCAATACCGACATTAGTTCCAGTTATCGGTAAATAGCAGACGCCTCAGTGACGTCACTAGTGTTTACACTACACCAGCGGGTATAATTTGATGACATTACTTGAAGTGAATTGGCCTTATTTTAAAAAATCAAGGATGGTTGGTAAAGGACTACTGAGTCAGTGGGTAAGTGTCACATTTGGGGTACTGGTCTTATACAGCAAATAGAGCTCAAAAGCTACTTTTTAAATGGAAATTTGGGGGGGGCGTCTTATGCACCCCGCCGCCTTATAGGCCGTGATATACGGTACCCCACTGTACCTACGTTGTAGTAAAAACAACTTCTTAATTTTATGATGGTATGCACACACAATTAATAATTAAGAGAAATATCAATAATATTAGGTTTTTTAACACTTACATAAGTAGAAAAGATGGCTGGGCACACGGGGATGGGGGTTTGGTTCCGAGGCAGAGGCCCTCACCTGTATCACTTGTATCAATTGTATCACTATCCACCACAGAGGCTTGCAGGGCCTCTTTGTCGAACCCCTCAAAGTCCATATAAGTCCATATCCTCACTATCATTATCACTATCACTGACTTGGGCCGGCTGTGGTGGGTGGCGGGTGAAGAACTCGGTAATGTTTTGATGACTGGGCGACCTTGTGCACACCCTGCTCGCGCCACTCTCCGCGTAAAAGGGTACACACACCGTGGAAATTGAGCATTCCGGTTTCGGCAGGGTACCGCGTAAACGTGGAAACGCGTAAAGTGGGACCGCGTAAAGCGAGGGTTGACTGTGTGTATACAGTCGGCCCTTAACATACGCGGGTTTAGCATACACGGATTTGCAAATACGCGGATTGCCCCGCCAGAAGAATATTCTGTACATTGAAGTAATTGAAGTACATTCAAATCGCGCACGGCACCGAACACCGCCCGCTCCCGCAACCTCACACACACACGCATTGCTCTCCCTCACTCAGTCAGTCTCGCTGTAACCACGCTTGTGTTGACATCAGCATTGTAGTTGCAAAAATATTACATTTCCGTGAATGTATTATATCAAGCACAGTATGAATAGAATATCACTAGTATAACAGTATTTTAACCGAAAACTATTAAAAAAACGAGTAACATATCTTGAACATCGGAAGGTTAGGTAAAGTCTTTTGTTTTCATGCAGTTTATCCTAATTTACATTGAAATACAATACGTTTCAGCAAACCTACTATTTATTTCTGAGAATATGGAAATGTAATATTTTTGCTGAAATGACGCACGTATTACAGTGGAAAATGACGAAAGCAATGACTTTCGCTTTCTTTCGTTCAAAAGATGTTACCGTAATCGCTTTTCGAATGGTTTTCAGTTAAAAAACTTTTGTATTACAATAATATTCAATCCTAATTCACTTGTGATGCAACAGTTTTTTTAACTGAAAATCATTCGAAAAGCGATTACGGTAACATCTTTTGAACGAAAGAAAGCACTTCATTGTTTTCGTCACGATTTTATCCCACTTTCCACTGGAAT